GTAATGTATGTTAATAATTTATCTCGACAGTCAATTATTAAGTTAATACAAAAAATTTTGAATCGTCAGCTCAATCATGAGCGATCATTAGGGCTCGGATTTCGACGCATTTGCTTCTTTTTTTTTTTTTGAATGTCTTACATTAGTCTTGTCAAATTCAAAGTATCAAATGGGCCAAATATATTAAATTGTTGAATACACGGGTCACACATTAAAATTTATCCAAAAAATGTTTCATATTACATTCTAAATATACACATAAAACCATCGATAAAACTTATTCGATTATAGTTTATCAAAATATTAGCCATAACGATAACCAATTATAATATTCTCTGAGGGTCTAAGATAGTTTCGACACGACATAAATGTTTTATAATTTTTTTTTACAATTAATTTTTTTATTTTGTCGATTGATATTGGTAGCCGTGGGCCACGTGTTTGACTTGCCTGCCTTAGACGATGTTTTCCAACGTACAATCTTTGTACCTTTTTTTTTCCTGTATTGCGGATTTTGTACTTTTTATGGCATTTTTTAATCTCTTAAGACATTTTCAAGTAATTTTTCGAACCATCATTTAGATTTTAAAACATTAAAGACGCTCTTGTTGTTCATCGTAACGCAAACGCGATTCATGAAATTTGATTTTTTACTCGTTCTTTTTTTGTTTTTATTTTTGTATTTATAAAATAATAAATCGTACACGTACCCGCACGATTTTCAAACGTTAAATCGATAAACACTGATCATAATAATAACAGATTGAATATTAAGCCCCTTTTTTTTAATTCCGAACCTTTACGATTACAGCCGCACGGTTAAACCGTTGCGGTCAACGGCGGTGGCACGACATGTTCATCAGTGACGTGAACGCGTTATCTTTAACGTCTGGTGGTTTACCGTACATGCGGACTTAATTGTTATTGACGCGCTGATGTCGTGAACCCCATTCCCGACCGCGATCCGATTCGCGTGTCGGAAATTTCAAAACGCATGACGTGCAACGGACCAGCATCGATTCCTGACGGTCAATATGAAGCCGTCGGGTCTCTGGCTAACGTTTGAATCGAACCGGGGGATTAGAGATCCGTATTTTTTTTTTCCAAGACCGGATCGATACATTTTAATCGAGACCAAGACCGGACCTCGGACAGACGGAATAAAATATGAAACCGGACTGGACCGGACCGTATCATTTAGAATGTGCAAGAGAAGACAGAGACCGAACCGACGTTTGAAAACAAGACCGAATGACGTGAAATGTTCAAAATACACAAACGTAACACCGTACAATTGTAAAGCTGTCCACAATCTACGTTGTGCACATATGGAAATAATACAAGTGTCAGATAAGACGATTCACAATCATCGGCACGAATTCTATTTCTGAATCTGTATCCTATAATAAGTAAATATTTTATAATATTATATAAGTTACCGATAAAATCATAGAGAAACGCAACGAGCTGTTTTGGTGGCCCAATATATATTGATCCGAATTAAAATAACATATTGTTACGCCGGGTATTATTTGATTTTGTACATGAGTAAAATCATATTCAATTGTTGTTCAAAATTAAGACCATTATTATTTTATAGAACTGAAGGTGAACGGATCAGACTAGACTGTGTTTTTTTTAATCCTTTATAAGGTTTCGAACTTACAGTGTAATCGTATTCCAGTGTCTTGGACTGGTGGGTTTAAAAATGTTATTTTATCACTATTATTGCTAACAATAACATTAACGTTTAAAAATTTAATCGTGCACCAAAAATTGAAATATCCGTTTTTCAACTGTCAGTAATCTCAGAAATTAGAAAGTATGTAATACTATACAACGATTTCCTCTCCGTGTTTAGCACACAGCGTCCATTGTTAATACGCCGCAATCGGAGACTAATGTGTGTAAGAGATTTTATCAGTTACCATCGGAAACGTTTAATAAATATAGGGTAAAAAACGTAGCAATAAATATTTTAGCTTGTCCAAACGACTCGTTTACATGACGAGCATGGTGATCGTGATTATAGCATTACTGATAAATGAAAACTGATGGGAAACTACGATTGAAAATAAACGTTATGGTTTCAGAGTATACAAATACTCTGTACACTCTATGTACCCAAAACTGTACCTACAAGCTGGTTTTCATTGTTCACAATTTTATTCGCCTAAACGAATCGTCTCCACCGATTTAATAGTCCAGCGAAACGTATTTAAAAGTCATTGATAATAGCGTCGGTCCAATATCTAAACAAGATCTAATAACTTATATACGTTATCCGACAGACAAACGCGGTCGACGTGCGGTATCGCAAAAATTTCTGATAGCTTTTCGTTAAAATCTCTTTTTGGAATATAGTACTAATTATTGAATTCTAAAAACACTTACAGCGGAAACTATAGGAGTTAGTTTCCCGTAAAGTTGAACGCGAAACAATAATATTGTGTTAAACACGCTCATCGAAGCGCGATGAAATTATTATTGCACAGATTTGAAAGCTGTGATTGATCATGAAATTATTTTGTTATTTAATAAAAGACAATTACAATCTGTATTTGTATAAGCACAATATGTAAACTAGATTATTTAAAGGAGAAAAATCAATTGTAAAATGACACGAAAAACGTGATGGAGGAAGCCACTCTTTAGAAGTTTATTTATAATTATCATTTTTATATTTTTATATTTATGTTAAAACGTCTATTGACGAATTTATTTTAAGTAATCGAATACAATTTCCTAGAATGGTGAAATATGAGATGTTGAATATCAAAGTTTGTTAAAACTGTTTGTAAAAAAGTTGTTTTTTCAGTTTTTGTGTAACTTAACACAACATCGATGGGATAGGATTTAAAGTAAAGGGATATTGTTGTTATAATAAACACATTGATTTTTTTCCTGATTTCCTCGCTTGCAAACATTTCTGTATGTATGTCTATTGTAGCTGATTACAATATTTAAAAATAGTTAGTGAATTTAATAATTATAATTGATGATATAATACATACATTGTGCACAGCAAAATCTGATGGACGCTTGTTCAAGAAACAAATGTATAAGTTATATTATTATACATAAAAACCGATAATGATTATAACGAGTGTGCAGTCTATAAATTGCAGTAATTTAAACTGAATTGTATTACAGTAATATCAAATTTTCTGTTCAGAAACGATTTTTTAATGAAAAAATTGTGATAGAAAACTAGAATCGTTTTTTCCGTCCACGCCGGTTGTATTTCGTGTACGTTTTCTTGTTCCGAAGTACTTTATTAAACATATAATAATGTTTCTCGACGATGAAAGTTTTGACGCGTCTACCACCGAACACCCGTTTTTGGTTTTTTTCTCTTTTATATTCTATTATGCGCATTAAACCCGATTAAAAAAAAGAAAAAAAAAACACAATGCAAAGTAGGTAATCATCGTGTTGATTTGATTTGAAACATGTATGTGAAATTATAATTTTACTACTATTCAGTATTATATGCGACACCTACTTGTTCTCACTGACTGAGGAGTTACAAATATTCTACACATGCGTACGGATGAACGCGACATAAAAAGGAATATTTTTTTGACGCGTATTTCCGGTGGCAATAGCGAACGACGAGTCGAATAAATAAATAAACGCGTTTGCGAACGTGTAATGGATGATTCCGGGGGCAGAAAAGAGGAAAACGAAAACGTGAAAACGTTCTTTAGAAAATAGCAATGCGTGGGATGACAGACTACTGTCTGCAAGCGATCGAACTAAAATTACATTTTATACTAGCGCGTGTACGAGAGAGGGTTTTAGGCATTCAACACTCCCCTCAAAATTTTAATAGTGATCGAGTCACACAATATTACAAGAATTTTATTGCGCACACCGATTGCTCCCGACGTAACGAAACATACGAACGAATGTCATAAGCACTTTATTAAACATAAAGCTATGTTAATCGACGATGAACTTTTCACGCGTCCACCACCACCAGTGTTTCCATCCGTCTTATATTGTATTGAACCTGGTTAAAAAAAAAAAATCTTAATTTGCAAACAAATTATTTGTAAAATAATGAACCTGTTTAACATTCCCAATAACCTAAGTGATTACAGACATCGTTTCTTGTCCAACGATATGTTCGGGTACGCTACAACAGCACGATGTGCGTTTTCACGGCGAAACTCGTTTGTCGGACAACGTCGTTATCCGAAGACGATGTTGGTCTCACCCGAGGGATACCCTTTTGGGACGATTTGGCATTTTGCGACTGCGGCGACGACGACTCGAAGAGTTATGTTCGCGCGTTCCTCGTACATCACGCGCCGTCGTATTATAATGCCATTATCACACTCGTCATGCATTCCGTCCGATCGTGCCGTGACGATAATAACGACGTTTTGTTGAATAATTTCCGTACCGTCGGCGTCTCCGAAATGGTTTTCGCACGGAGAGCGCCAAAATTCTATTTCTCAACTTCCATCCGGTATTACAATATTGACATTTCGTACGGTAAAGCTATTTCGTGCACTTTTACTCAAACGTGTCGAATTCCGATTTTTGAATGTTGACTCGGCGGCAATATTGTTAAAATTATTTTTTTTTTCAAATTCTCGTATAACATTCTGTATACTTGAACGTTTCGTATCGATCCGATTGTTGCAGTTATTGTTTTTATGCAATGTGAAACTGTGCAATTTATGTACACGCCTGGACAATGCTTAGTACCATTTATATACCGGTAAGAGGAACTGATCAATATCAGTAAAATTATGATTCGTAACGATTCCACGTAATAAAACTTCATTCCGCGCAGAACCTTTACAAGTTAAATTTGCGCGGTGGAAATCCATTATTTTTCCGTTCAAACTTGAACACCAATTAGAAAACATTCTGCTCGACCGTATGTCAAGCCAAGTAATAGATAACATTTCTTACTCTGTTTGGAAAAAAACACAAAAAACCACAAGACCCGGTGGAATAATAACATTGATTTGTGTGTGTTGCAGACGAAATGCAAACCATATGCAAAACCCATTTTCTGCAACAAGTGTACAGGAAGATCGAAGGTGCGGTGCTAGACTCACAAAACGAACGAAACCTGGACTGCGTGACCACATTTCAGACGCACTCCATCTTGCAGAGGTTCATGATACATTTCGACCGTTTGCAGTTGGATTGCAACGATCATCTGTTCATATTCGACGGCGCCCACGCGGTCGGAGCACACAAGGTAAGTGTCTTACGAATATTGTAACACTCGAACAACATTACTAACTGCGCGTTCCCCATTCGCAACAAACCGCTTTGAAAATAGTTATAAAATTGATATTTATAGTTTTAACAACAATAATAATAATTATAAAAATAATTTAAAGCGAACCGCTTGAAATCAATGTGCAAAAACAATCGCTGTACCAAAGACAGTGGCATATTTTTAAAATTTTCTCGGGGAAGGGGTCAACATTTTTCTCAAAAATAAATAATTTTATAGTATTATAAAAAATACATATATGTTATGAATTAATAATCATATTATTATGGAAATATTTTTATTCGAGCATTACAATCACATGGTATAAATCAATGTACTCTTTCTTAACACTTGTAGAAAGCTATTTATGACTTTCAATCAGTTTTTTCTTCCGGATTGGTCAAAACCCCATCCCCGAAAATACACTGACTATGTATACGTGTCTACTATAGGAATAATAACCACATATACTAATACAAAACATACCGCGGTCGCTACGCATTCACAGAGGTGAACAGAATTTCACGTGGCTGCAGCTTGTCATACGAATAGCATGCAAAATGAATAGCATGAATAGCATGCAAAACGCGGAAAAATAATAATTATAATAAAAATTTTTTGTAAAATTGTATAACCTAATTGTTTAAACATTTTTTCCGTATGTTCGAGAAAATCAATTTCATTAGAAATTCCAATCGTTCTGCATAAATGCATGATAATGAGTGTAAACTTGGCATCGGATCAAAAACACTTTTTGATTCCACCAGAAATCATCTCTAGCTGTACCAACATACGATTCTCGATACCATATTCTGCTTCTGTACCTTTTTATCTCGATGCCACTAAAAGTAACAGTTTTCAACGCTAGAAGACGTATTATAATGAACCGTGTCCATGTAGTGGTTATTTCCGTTTCATATTACGTTAATCGTTTTGTTTTATTCACATTTGGTCGAGGATTATGAAGATTTTTAGTTTGCGTGGCGATATTTGATGCCGTCGGTTTTCTTGGGTTTTTCAAAAGCTTCCTTTGAAATTCACGTGGCGCTCGATTTGATAAAAGTACATTTATTTTTTACGGCATGATCACAATTTTCTTTATTCATTTTTCATAAAAAACGATGATTAAAAAAACATCCAAAACATAATAACTATAATAATGAAATGCGGGGATTAAAAACCTTATACAAAAACATGCGAATCGGAAAAAACTGTAGAAAAGAAATTCAAGTGGTATAAAAAAAAAAAACCTAAAATATACACTTTGCAAAAATTCAATTATTAATAAAAACAAAAATAGTATTTCTTTATTTTTTTAGTTTACTTTGTAAAAATTGAAACCGGGTTTGATATAATATTGAATTGATTAAAAAAAAAAAAAAGTGAGATAAAGGTTGAGATCAGGGTGGACATAGGAGTTAATTATGAAACGGTATCCGATTAAAACGTATGTATCTATTGATTTTCGTTTCGTGCGATATGAATTTTTGTAAACCTTTAGAGAACGGAATGACGACGTACACGATTTGACGGCACATACGTTTTATACGCGTTCGCTTGCTGCCCGAAAATATGGTCGTGCTTTACGTAATACTATTATAATAAACGGCGTAACGTTTACCGTGCGAACCTGCCCCGTATGTACTTTAACCGTATCCGTATCACTATGAATTATTCAACCACTACTGTATTTTTTTTTTCATTTTTTTTCATTTTTTTTATTTTTTTTTTCATTATTTACTTTACATACTGCTTTATATATTTGACCCGTTAAAATAAATAATAAATAAACAACCGTATCGCGCGTACGGTCGTAAGGCGGAAACGGTTATAGTAATAATGATTGACCCGTTGACATTGTCCTCCCGCGAACGCGTTCGTTCGGTTTATCATATCATCGTCGTCGGCGACGTTATTAATTTTATTATTTTTCCCGTTTTTCATACCGCACCTGACCGCAACGGTTATCAAACGTTTTGTTCAAATACCCCGCACACGCCGCGCAACGCCACGCAAAACGTTGACGGCTTTCGCTCTTTGATTTTCCACTCCAGCAAACGGAACGGGGTGGTAAAGTACCCTGTTTACACTTGTCTTTACGTGCCGCGACCGACGTCGCGTGCGTTTTCCTACATGAAAAACGTTCGACGCGATCGCTTCGCTCGTGAAAACTCGATAAGTACCACAAAAAAAAAATCCTTTGAAACGGCCGAGAGAACGTTCGTGGTCCGATTTGCGCGCCGAATGGTCTCGAGCAAACTTACCGCGTGGCATTTATCGTCGTGTTGCGTATCGCCAATATTACGGTCAGATTTTTTATATCATGTCAGAATTGTTATCGGTATGTGAAAACCTGAATCATTGTAATTATTATATAGGTCGAGTCGACGAGACGGTGAGTTTCGTCTTCTCGGCAGTACCGATTGGTACTTCGAATAAAGGCGGTCCGCACACGAACCGGAATCAAATTTTTTAATATACCAATAAACGCTCCGGCCCCAACACGTCGAAACATTCACGCGTGTTCGTTTCCGCGTACGGATGACGATTATAAACAGATCAATAATCGCATAATGGTTATCGCATAATATTTTTTTATTTCACCGGTCGAACGATATTTTTCAAACCGTATCACGTGTTGTTACCACGTTATGGAAACGGTACACTACGGTTTCCGGCGAACTTCAATACCTTCGGGCATACCTCCGGAGCTATGTTTTCAGAGCGAAAACACTACGAGCATTATTGCTGCTGTTTATTTTTTTTTTAACACCGTCACCATTTCGTTACGATTTAAAGCGGAAAAAGTTTTCTCTTTTAAGGTTTACCCGTTTTCCCATCGTCATACTTATACTGTCGTATACAATAATGGCGTAACTACGGATATATGCTCAATCACATTGTTTTTAACGCGAAACCCTCGTGAACTTAATACCGTTAACGATCCAGTGATCTCGACAAGTTTTCGAAGTATAAAACGATAGGTAACTAACCGAAACGCAGTGCTGGGAAATTTTTTTCCGTGCTCTTTGCACGAGTCTGACGCGTAGGCGCCTACTTAAAATTTACCAAATCATTACGTTTGACAGCCCCCACCCCTAGTATTGATGTTTATTTTCCAATATAGCTTTTGAAAACCAAGTAGCTCGGTAATTGTTCATTATAGTGCGGTTGTTGAAATATAAATATACATTTTTTTACAATTTCGGAGATGGTGAGGAGAGTCGTCAACTCTTAAACTCTTTCTTGTAAGTGCATGAATGAGATATGGAGTAAAACGTGTGCGGGCCGGATTGGGGGACACCAAACATTTGGTCGCAAGAAAAAGCTGTTCTTTGTTAGCGTTTTTCGTCTGCTCGGACACGCCATGCAGTACGCAGCGTAACTATACCGGTGATGCGGTAACAGCGATCACGGTCGTGGCGTAAAGGTACGCGAGTGGATATTAAAATAATTAAAGGATAAAGGATAGATTCTCTTACCGTCCAGACAACGCGAGAGTCGGCTACCCCTTTCGACCGGGCGCACATAGTTTCCGTACTACGGGATAGTCATCACGCGCCGACGGAACCGAATCAATAAAACGAAAAATAAAACCCCCGGATTGCGACTTTCCCGGCGCACACGCATATTACAATGCAGCTATACACGCGGCACTTGACGAATTTGCATACGTATTCTCAGGAAGCTTTGTATTCAAAATCTGATTAGGTACAAATATTCGTTTCGCATGGTACGTACACAATCGAAGTGTAAAAAAATTTGGAAAAAACGCATATTACGGCATATTTCACAATATTTATGTGATATCGTATATTTTAAGATTTTAAGCATATTGATGTATGATATTATGTATTTAAATTTTACTGTACCAAATTTTGATCGAATATTTCTTATGGTTGGTTCACTTTTGTTTTTTACATTTTTCAATAGTGAATTTTTCAATCATTCCAAATATTAACATTTTAAATTGAATTGAACAAATTACAAATTGTTATCGAAAAATAAGAATTTGAACTTCGAATAATATATTATTATTATTAATTTCCTTAAACATCCCAATCGAATACGTCACTGCACGGTTTTTTTACGAGTATAGGATTTACTCGAATCGAGTTTGGTTTCTGAACACTTAGAGTAAAAAATTTGTAGGGCTTCAGCCTCTTTTATACATATTTTTCAATCACTGCCTTTCAGAAACTTTTTCCCCACCCTTTACCCTCAATAATAAATGTGCTTATTGGAAGGCAAGTAAAACTTAAGACTAAAAATAATTTAATTTTCAGTAGTAATCATATATTTTTTTTTATTTATCCATATAATAATATAAAGTTCTGCGTGGTTTTTTTTTGGGGGAGGGAGCTTAGTCCCTCCAACCAACCCTAATTGCGCCTATGGGAAGGATATCACGTGGTAGGGAGGAAATAAATCCGAGTGGCGACGACTTGCGTTGCACCGCACACGCGCGTATGTCTCGGTCAAAGCTTTGCGCAAGAATCACATTTTAGAGACGATATTTAAGGCGACGACGACTTAACGCAATGTACGGACGAGAAACTGAGCGCACCGAACACACGAACTCTTCCGTTGCCCACGTGACTTGTCTTCAGAACGGGTCGTCCGTTTTCACGTGCCATCTGCGGCGTATCGTATAAATCGTGTGTTACAGTTACCATGGTAATATTTCAAGTACTTCGGGCGACGTTCGCGACATTCGTAGCACGTCCTGTAACGCCGAAAAAGTACGCGGTACGATAAGGACGTCGCTAATAAACGGTTTCCAACGTTGAACATCATGAAGTTTCCGGGCGCGCGGACGCGAAAAATAACTGCTTCTCGTAAGTGTCGAACGGCGTGAACAAACGCGGAGAGGATAAAAGCAATAGGAAATGTTTCTGATCGTAGGTCTGTGCGGTTTCCAAACCGTATCGGTGCCATAGAACCGTGATCATTGACTGTCGTCTCTTCTCGCAGTATCG